CGAAGTTACTTTCCGCAACCTCTCAGACGTACAGTTTGTCAACAAATACCATGACCTTGTGAATATGTACATTTACAATCTCGACTAGAATTCAAATATGGATTTTTTTTTTATTGAAAGATTATAATAATTTTCATGTACAGCATGTTAAGATTTTTTTCAATTTACAAAAAAAGCATATACATTTAAATAATATTCTTCTGTATATTTACTGTATCGGATGAAAAAGAAAATCTACGAATTTAGTTTTGACTTTAATATGAACGGTGTTATTTGTATATACTATATGTTTTGATTTCTACTGCTTCTGTTTGGTAAAATAAAACATATCATATAACAAACGAAAAACAATGGGTAACATGATATCCACCGACAACTTGGAAATAAATACTCATTGGTAGTTATTCCTAACCGTTGGTAAAAATGTAATGCTCAACTTCAATTTACCCACCCTTTTTCCATTGGATGGTTTGGGATGATATGTACTGACCAACACTGATTTACCTATACGAACACTGGGCAGTATGCATATCGCTAAATTCATCTTCTTTCAAAAATGCCCATTGTGTATATTGATGCTTGGTATATAATTAGCATATATAAATTAATATTGTGATCAAATAAGTGGATAGATTTAACTGTTCGGACACCTTAATTTGTTAACCATTCACTAAGGGAATGATTCGTTCGCACTGCCAGTGTTTGATATTTGTTGCATTGCCTAAGGGAAAATAATTAAAAATGTGGCGTAAATATCATATAACAGGAGCGGGCAGTGCCATTGAATTGGAGAGTTTGGCCCACCCGGTTCGACAAAGGAATATACGCTATGTTGGTACCAACTGAAACCAAGTTGGCCAAACTCTGTGCATATGGCTCTGGGAATAGGGTAAGCATAGCGCCCTCTCGTGTGTGTGTTTTTATTATAGGGGTGAGAAGACATGAGACCATGAACACTGGCGCCCTGATGGGGAAAGGGGGGGGGGGCTTGGGGGTAGTTGCCCCCACCCCATAAATATTCAAATGTGGTTCATTTCCAACTCGATACCTCCAGTGATATACAAATGTTGCTGAATTGACATGATTTCCGGGATTTTTTTGTAAATTATACTTTTGTATGCGTTTCTTGGACAATTACAAGTTCCTAAATTTACAGATAGGCAAAAGTATGCTTAGTTAGAAGCCTTCATGTCAGGGTTTGTAGACCGGCGGGGCTCGGGGGCTCAAGCACCCCTCACTTTTTGTTAAAGTATGTTAAAAAGCAAAAGGAAGAAAGAGAAAAAAGAAATAATGGTGACATGTCAGTGTCAAAATAAGAGGGCTCCGCCCCCTGGACCCCACAAAGGGCCCTAGATGCTCATCTGACCGTAATTTAATACCTAAAACCTCTGAGCTTCCGGGGGATCTGCCCCCTGGACTCCACTAAGGGCCCTATGGCGGGCCCCTGGATGCTTATCTGACCGTAATTAAATGCCTAAAACCCCTGAGCTTCAAAGGGCTCAGCCCCCCGAACCTCACGTCAATTAGTGACCTGCCAGTGTCACAAAAAAGTATCTAAATACGCTTTTCTGACCATAAATAAATGCCTAAACCGTGAGCTTCTGGGAGCTCCGCCTCGGAAGCCCACACGAATTTACGCTCCACTCACTTTGCTCGCTACGCTCTACCGGGTCGTTAATAATCCACTTTGAAAAACGTTCCGCGGGGCCTGCATGTAATATGTAAGAGGAGTGGTGATGCAGTTTTTTCTTCTGCCCCCCGAAACGTTTTTGCTCACTACGCCACTGCCCCTGAGAGTTAAGCCCCCTGGAATATTTGCCCCCCCCCCCCCCCAATCCCAAACTACTTCCGGCGCGCCTGGCCCTCTTCCCCTCTCCCTCCCCCACCTCATTACATCCCGTTGCAAGCTCGGGAAGACATACAACGTGCAGTGTGCCAACGGTATGCAAACCTGACCAATTAATATCTCCTCCCTCATTCGTGAGACTGTCAGTATACTTTTATTTTCACTTCACCATTTCCAAATAACACCACATCGTTTGACGCAAAAGTAACGAAACAAAAATATGACTAAGAGTCGTATTTTCCTTTTTAAATATTGCATGAAAATATAATTTAGTTGCATATTATTTCAGGGCACAAATCGCATGCTTCAAACTACGTAAACATGTACAACTGGGTTCACTATCAAGAGATAAAATCAAATCAATTCAAATTATAAACCAATACAACCCCCATGTTAATAAACAAAGTTACTGACTAAAACGGCAGTGTAATACTTTTGTACAACAAATCGAACTTTGTTTCAAAGAAATTCATTTGATTGCACTTTGATCATATAATTTATAAAAAATTAATAAATAAGCAAGGAAATTCCTAAAAGATAATTCCAATACGATGAAACAGATTGGTACTTCAATAATGACTATACATGAATTCGTAATTTAAATCCTGAATCATAAAAAGTATTACAGTTTAGACTGTACGCAAAGGCGAATAACTATGATGTGTAATACCATGGACTTAATACGGATGGACATTCAACGTGATTCTTTCTTTGATCCAATCATAGTCGCCGCCTTCTGATTATGTGCATCTTAATGAGAACATTCAGCTGTTTTAACAATTATGACTGCGTAAGCATTTTCGGTCATTGACAAAGGAGCAGTTTCCCTCTCTTGGGTTTTGTTTGGATGGTGTGCTCCGTAATAATGTGCCCTAAATAAAAATCATCCTCAATGGGGAGCAGCAAAGTTGAAAAGCAGACGATTTTGGTGATATGAAATGTATTATTACTGATTCGCAAACTTTCGCACACAGCAATGACCTTATAAAAACAATTAGAAGGCCATGATCTGTATCAGCCCTGTGCGTTGTAACTCTGGAATATTATGAGGAAATAGGGTAAACGGGATTTTAAATCACAACCAAAAAATCCAAAAATAACCTCTATCTGGTAATATCAACATGTTTTTCATAAACAAAAATACATGTACAGTACACGGAACAACAATTTCTTATTATAAGCCTGAACTGCACATCTATTTTCCATGATTTAGGCGAGTAATTATCTTCTGCGCATGTAGATTAACATGTATAAAACCACTATCTTGATTCTGTCCCGGCTTTTTGCCGGCGACCATGATGAGACCAAAGGGAAGAAACATGTACGGAATGTTATTGAGACGACATCGACGGAGACAATCACAATGAATTCGTTAAGAAAATGATGAATGTCCATTCGTAATAGGTCCATGGTTATACCAAATATTACTTTAAATAAACGTTATACCAGTAATATATTAAATAACGTTAGAAGGTAGAATTATACAGTCTTATTAGCAATGTCATACACTAATACTCAGCGACGAGGGGGTTAATACAAACAATATTTGGGAAGGTACCTCTGAATATTTTGAAACAATATTACTGATGATAAGTGTAGAAATAAATTGAACATGTTCTTGTATTATCCTACATGTGATAATATAACGTTTTGGAAGACTTAATTAAATATCGAAAGGTGTACACATATCGATTTTGTGATCTTGTTCTCTTATTTTGACGTACATGTTTCTTGTAAAATGATTTATAATCATTGCCTTTTTTGTATACTGTGTATTTTCTTTTAAGTAATGGATTCCTGTATAATGACAAATAATATACATATTACCTGAATAACATGTTTTTCTCTTTAATGAAATATACATATCTCTTGCAATCATATAGCTCCGTTTAGTCTCATTTCACAACGCCCCCTATCGTCAGAGTCAGCAGCCATACATGTTAGCCTATGGACGTTTTTTTTTTTAATCGTTAAAAATTCATTTTTTGTTTAAACGAAAAGCACGTACGTTATGACTAGCTCTTTCATTTCAGCCCCCATGTCTCATTGACTTTTGAAAGTTCACCCACCGTGAACACCCACCCACCATTTTTCAAAATAGGTTGCAAGCTCGCCATTGCCTATAATACACATGTGAAACAAGTCAAACTTTGGACTCAGTCTGCCAAGTGATTGTAAGATTATAGGTCAAGCACACGAAGGATAAGAAGCATGAATTATCAATTATCACTTCTGCTATGTTCATTATGTCCATTTCATCCAACCCCCACCGTAATTTTTCCATTGAGTAAAAGCAAACATTTTGCCGAGTTCAGCAAAAACCTGAATATTCATGAACGGTCAGACAATACAGCCTTTTGGTACGTAACGTATATTGAATGGGAATGGGCGACGATCCGTCCAGGAGGTAGAGGTCAGTGTTTTGTGCTGGCAATGTTCACGCGAGCGAAAATGAGACAATCGGAGCAATATGACACATTATGCGAGTTAAACTAATTATTGTAAAGAGCTAAATGCCGATGTGTTTGCAATGGGCTTGTTACAGACGTGCATCAATTAAATATATGATTATTTTTCTTCTGGGAATGACCGTTTGATGCCACCATTCGGAAGACCTGACCCAGCTATGAACCTGGGTCCGATTAGAACCAGATTGTAGGTGAAGACAGAGAGCTGACTGTATCAAGGACGTAACTGCTAGACCAACTTTCATCTTCCTTGGAATCGCTTTCTACCAATAAAGGCGGTCGGTGTGCCGTTTTACCAAGGTACAGTTGGCATATGATCTATCATTTCGTCCTACTCCACAAATGTTATTGTTAGAATTGAGGACAATGATAATATAGCACCATGGGAGTCACCTTGATCCATTGAACCATGTCATTGAAATAAACCAATGCACAATAGTTCTAGACCCGATTATCTATAGACTGATCGGAGCATAAAATGTCAGTGATGGAGTATTATGCCGAAATCATGTCGGAATGATATTTGAAAAGACTAAAAAGGGTATAAATTATTAATGAATTCGCGCCTTTTTCCTTTCAGTTTCCGTTTATATTGTTCGATTTCGGCTTTCTGTTATTCTTGCGTTTTACTCTGATGAGTGCGAGACGAAACGCTTGTATGGCTCTTTTCAACGCGATTCTCCAATTATTGAATGTTGACCTTTCAACCGCTGACATAGCACAGTTTTTGTGATTTTATATAAAACCTATGTATCCTCGTCCGATGACATGCGTCGTTGCAACACCTATACTTTCATAATCATACTCATAATTTCGTGTCTTCCGTTTCGACGTTCTCTCTTGTTCTACTACGCGACGTGTGCCTAAAATCCGCCTTGATGACGTCATCATATGAGGGTGGAGGCTCAATGCTGTCTTGTCCATGATTGGTCAGTCCATGTCCCGAACCAATTTCATTTTCAAAAGTAAAGGGTGAAGGTTCACTGCCCAAGTAAAGCGGTGGAGGCGAAAAATCACTGGGCCGGATACCCGGTGACGGCAGCGTATATGTGGCTTCGACGTTAAGTATTCGGGCACGATTCGGATTGGTTTGACCCGTTCCGGGTGGACCGGTTTCAGCAGTCTGATTTGCATTGGAATTGTTTCGGAATTTTCTACTCCAGGTTGCACAGCAGCATACTATCAGCAGCAGTCCGAGGATGATGAAAACCCACAGATAGTCACCTTGGTGAGAGAAAAATTGAGGAAAACAGTGTGATTTTTATTTCGTGTTAGATAATAAAAGGACAGACATCAAAAAAGAAAACTATGATTAAAGAGTAGATTTCTGGATTATGATTATAGTCCTATATATTTGAAGTAAATACTGTAGATAAGAAAGATATTTATTTGAAATACATCAGTTTATTAGGCAATAGTAGCAAAAGGAAACAAAAACAATAAAAGCATAATATATAGACAATGGTCTCCCATCGTGTTCATCAACAAAAAATCCACTTTCATTTTGTTTTATGATACAAATCTGAGTTTCAGTAGTTCTAAAATGTGCATAGCGTATTTTCATCAATTCATCTCAAATCCAAAAGTAGTAGATAGCTTTAGCTTGTTGTCGAACTTGCAAATATTATTATTTTTATAGCCTTACTATTAAGGCTAAACGAGGAAATAGTACATTTCACCATACACTCTCATGTTATTACTGGGTATAACAAGAGATAGTGATTGAAACAATGTAATACTAACGTTAAATCATAGGAATGGGAACACTGTCGTTAAATTAATATGTTTACCCACTTTTTATAATTATATTGATTCAAAGATTCATGAAAAATGATATATAACAAAGTAAATAGAATGTCATGTACGAAGCACTAAGTTGTTACATGCAGACAATCTATGTAAATATATTTTTTCAAGTCGATATATTTACATGTTACACAAATTATGTTTGTCGTTATTTTTGAGGGATCCACATTTTACAAGCTCTGCTTTTCACTGGACCCCTCCATTTCCACAGGTTTATCTTTTTTTAAGAATTAAAAAACCTATTATACCGGATAATTATGTATACTTTCTATTTCACAACTTTAAACCATGCAAAATGTATTATATTATTGAATGTTGAATTGTATATCTGATTTCCTGTCATAATTACTGTTCTGTTGGAAATGAGAAATAAAACTGAAACTGAAATAACTAGAACGTGGTGAAATCAACATTTCTATACTTACTAACATTCACCATCTTGGCTCTATTAGTCACTCCTATTTATTAATCTGAAAGAGAAAACAGAAGGCGAACTTAAATAATAATACAACAATAACAATTATAACAAATAAATAATTTCAAGCGTAATAACTCCATCGAAACTTGTTTATCAAATGAAATTTCGTCGCTTTTTTTTATTAACGTGAATTTCATGACCTAACTCCCACTTTGTTTGTTTTGCGTGGTACGTGCACGAGAGGGCGACGAATGCGTTTATCATTAAGGAAAGAAGCACATTCTATTATTTCAAATCTAGCTCCTAGCAATCCAATAAACAATATTCGTTTAATGTTTGGCGTTCGATAATTGGATAGACATAATAGAATCAAAATTGGGCAAATTTCTAAATATCAAAACACTGTACCCTCGTTAACATAACTGTACCATTTGTTATGCGATACGTGTATTCATTGACAACGTACATGTTCAGTTAAGAACTGAATTATTCATAACCCTAGTTAATTAGATTTTTTTTTTTTCGTAACCCAAGAATAAAAGGTTGACTGGTTGCATAATTTTAGATGTAAGCTTTGATGTGCCAAATTCTCAACAATACAAAACTACAAAACTTAGTAAGAGTATGAATAATTTAATTTTTAAATGTAAGTCTGGTTGGACTAAAGTCTAGATATACGTATAGTCATTGTAACGATGCTTTGTCAATAACAACAAGAGAGTATAACGCTATTCCTCATCTCACAATTATCCTATGATGATAGCTATTTTCGTAAATGATAAGTTTTTATTGTCTTTATGTTTTGTTTTGTTATAATGGCTCTTCACTCTTTACTATCATCAATATTCATTCCTTCATATCATCAATAAATGTCCATTCCTTTCCTGTGTAGAATTTATTTGTAAAACTTTATTGACTCTTTGGACCCCTCTCGGGGTATGAGAGTACAAAAAAACATAACAGCTGACTTGTACTGTGGTCAATATTTTGGTTGCTTTCTCCGCCTCTACGCACAGTCGCCCAGGCGCGGATCTACGGGGGGGGGGGGGGGGGTTTAGGGGGTTTAAACCCCCCCCCCCCTTGGGCGACCCCCCCCCCAAAAAAAAAAAGGAAAAAAAAAAGAAAAAAAGAAAGAAAAAAAGAAAGAAAGAAGAACGCACGCTGGAGAGAAACCCTTTCAAGTGCAAATATTGTGAGAAGATATTCAACTCATCTGGTAACTTAACCAAACACATAATAAATCTGGATATAACTGTGTATTAAACTGTTACTTGATTTAAAAAGACGTTATCATGCACTGCTTTTTATGGTCTCCATTGTGTAAATAGATGCCAGGAAAACATCACTTACGGGGTTCAAATAAACACCCCCCAAAAAATCGGCTCGCCGCTTCGCGGCTCGTGGACGATGCTCTGCATCGTCATTATTTTGGTCAACCCCCCCCCCCTTAGCAAAAAGCTAGATCCGCCCCTGGTCGCTCATTTGTCACACGTGCAAATTTACACAAGACAGTACGCACCGATTGACAGAAGGAATGCTTTGTGCAACACAATGGCTTTGCAAAAATACCTATTTGCAGGCTCGATTAGCCTCACTTTGACATCGGTATATGATAATCCTGTAGGCCTACTAGAAACAGTTAAATAATCTTTAGACCATTAGTATCTATCCATTATAAATACATTGTGGCACAGAGAGATAATTTGTTTGGCATATTACTTACTTTACTTTACTTTATTTTCTTTGAAAATACACAAACAACAACAACAACAACAACAACACATTAATTGCAGTTACCGTATTTTGTCTAAACATTGCTTATTAGAGCGTTACAGTGCGATTGTTATTATTCGTAGTCAAGGAGATTACATTAAATATTCCATTAATTTTGTTTGTAAATACTTTTTCTGATGGTCTAATGTTTTTCTTTCTCCATTAGACTCCGGGTACGTGCTCACAAATCCAACATGCCTTATCCAAAAAAAAGTGAGAAGTCATAGACTGTTATTATGTGTAAAAGGGAATTTTGTTCTTATGATAATAAAACAAACCCCTGGAAATATGATATTGATCATCGTCTGTAAATGTTTTTCTATGTCTTTTAAATTATGTTGCACTTTCATATCAAAACATGGCGTTCGAAAATATATGACCATGTTGGTGTTCTCTGCTACAGCTAATGGATTTTCTCTCCATATTCATACGGGCTTTGTAACTGCAAGGAAAGGGGCCGCACCAAAAACGAGACACAATGACTCAGTGTTCTTTGGTAAGGCACTAATACTTTTTACCAAGCCGTTGGTCCACTGTTTGCTTGTTAACAAGCATACACATTCCTTCTTTAATAGAAGGCAGGTATTAAAAAACAATCATCATAAAACAAACATGCCCAATGAAAGTACATGTAGTTTGGATTGGATTGGAATGGATAGGCATATATATATATATATATATATATATATATATATATATAGCTGTTTTAATCACTCCTGACTGAAGCAGTAGCATTTGCCTCGTATGATCACAACGGCACTTAAACCCACCAGCACAAACACACAATAAAAGGTTCTTTTATTATTTGTTATGGGCCAACGCAACGATACAATAAAGAGTCCTTCCTTTTGAAATTGCTCGTGCATACAATGCACAGATAGGCACCAGGCAAAAATAAAAACAAGATTATGTACGTTTAGTGACGTATTAAGGTATAACAATCGCTAGAAAAGCAGAATAAAAAAAGTAAATAAATTCTCACAAATTTAATTTTCTTTTGTTTCGGGGCTGCCTTCTTGCCTTGAATATATAGTATACGATCTGAAATGTCATCCGGGTTATTATGGCAGGATATGTTGAATAATTGTACAATGATAATGATATGTTTTTACTATATCAGATAGGGCTCTCTCTTTTAATCTCTCTCTCTCTCTCTCTCTCTCTCTCTCTTTCTCTCTCTCTCTCTCTCTCTCTCTATATATATATATATATACATTCATATAATGTAGACATGACAGAGGTTGTTTTGCACATGTCATGCAATGGCATTGTGATATCAACTAATTGATACGTATTATAAATGATTCACTATGTAATCAGTTTAGAATGTTATGTTATACGATTTATCTATCACCCTAAATATTGGACTAGCTGAATATTACAAACAGTGAAAAATAGCGGTTCATCGAATTTTAGATACATGGGAAAATACATGTACGAGATTGCAAAATTTTGTCCGAGGTTAAATCTGTAAACTATTTAGGCATTGAGTTGGCTAGCAATTTCATTTTCATCTTTAGTAGAATCAGTTGTAAAAAATACAAATTCTCGTCTGAAATTTTTGCACAGATATCAAAGTTGTATGGATTTAAAAGCATGTCATATACTCTGTTTTGCTCTTATTCAATGTTTATTTGACTATGCTAACCCTGCATGGTACAATAACATAAAAGAGTCAGATCAAAAGAAGTTGAAAACGATACAAAACAAAATGGTGAGATTCATCAACTGTTCTGGTCCAAGAACTCATGTTGGCTACAGCTAACTTTCTAAAGTTAGTTTTCTTGAAGTCAACCAAAGATCAAAACAACTCGTAGACCTATTGCATCACGTGCATAACATATATCATACTAGGTCGAATCATTATATTTGATCGAACATCGATCTTGTTACTGACTTACATGATTATAATACAAGAAATAGACGATTCAACTTTAACTTACCACAAAGAGTAGGTAGTATTGGAAATTCGTTTGATTACAATACCATAAAACATTGGAATTCCCTTCCCAATGGTGTAAAGGAAATAGAAAACTATGCTCACTTTAAGAGGAAATTAAAGGAATATCTAATACTTGAAACTTGAGAGTCAGAGAAGAGAAGCAAATGACATGTTATATGATTGAAATTTGTATTCTTCTGCCGGTTCATACTTGTTCATTTTGTTTATACTTATTTTTTTTGTACGTATTATAATTTCTACGAATTCATCATTATTTCCCCTTTTTCCTCCTCCTCCTCTTTTTCTTCTTCTCCTTCTTCTTTTTCTTCTTGTTCTAATTAAAATTTCTATCATCAGTTTAATGTTGTTATTATTATTATCTTTACTAAGTTTTTTCTTTTTCTTCTTCTTATCTGTCTGTAAATATTACTATTCTAACTTATTCACTTTGTACATGTTTGTATATAGGAGACCCTACTGAAAATAAGCTCTCGAGCTTTCGTTGGTCATCCTGTTCAAGCTGACTTAAGTTTGATCTGTTATTCTTGTATGTTGCTGTATGTTGGAAGCTTGGCGAATACAAATAATTCAAAAAGTCTTCTTTGAACTATCAGTGAAATATTTAAGTATTACAAGGCCAGTCCTCTTCACTTGAATTTACTCGCTTCTTATTCTTTTACATGGGGATAAGAAAAAATAAAATTCTTAAAGGTAAAGACCAGTTATGGTCATGCGATTGCATTGTGAAAGAAACGTTGTGGAATCGATCAGAAAAGGTTGATCATCTAGCATCTAGCATCTGCAAGGTTCTGGAATCATCAAAATGATAAGAAATTTGGCCCATTCTTCGTAAAGTTACAAGCACTATACACAGAAAGATGTATATGGGACTACCCTAAATCTCTCACAGACCATGAGAGAAACAAATTTACCAAATATATGAATTAGTAGGCGGTTTCCCGGTAAATTTTTTATCATCATGTATTATTCAAAACATATTCTTTCACATGGTTGGTAATGAGAGCTTCCATTTCATTTTTTGAAATTGGGGCGTTTCCAATACTGGTCTTTACCTTTAACTCTTCCAAGAATGCAGCATTATTTTTTACAAATATTACTAGTTAGCAATGGTGGATTCTTGTACAGCGTTCATGTCTTTCACAATGGCCACTCGTGGTGCTCACAGTAACTATTACCCCGACTTTAGCATGATTATGGCGCTCTAGAATTTCAAGGCATCTCAAAGAGCGGAATATACCCTGGCATGCCAAGCATGTTTGTATTTTTTTCCCTTATTTATTTCTGAAAACTATATTTTACTTCCTCCTCTGAATGTTGAGCCACCACCTCAGTTAATGGTATAAAAGGTGACATGGTGCCTATTTCTAACGTGTTTTTTAACGTTGGATATGGGGGGGGGGGGGTAAGTAGACCAAGAAGATCAGAAAACGTGCACAGAAGCGGAAATGCCAAGAAAATCACAACATGAATTCAATAAAAGGAAGATATTTTAAAAAGTTAAAATAGATAGATACATGTATATGTATGGTATTAACGAATAAATAAAGACTTAATTACATGAAGACAGGGGTAGTTACAAACAAATAATAATAATAATAATATATAGATTTTATATAGCGCTTATCACAAATGACTCTAAAGCGCTTTCCAATTATATTATTACCCCGGTCATTGGATGAACCTCATCCGAACCCATGGCTTGAAAACGGTCAAAGTTCTGTAAGTGTCTATACATGAAAATATACGGGTTATCAAAATAGTACTAACAAACAATACATAACTCACCGTATAATATATGCATGTGCTGCTACGGAAGATAAGTACAGTCATCTGTGTAGTATTATAACCATTATGAAGCGATGGAGGGCGATAAAGGCCTCAGTTGTTTTAAAGTCAGAATTGATCAGCCCTTGCTCCAGATCATAGTAGAATGTAATATTCTGAAGCTAGTTGCATCAGTCAAATGGATCTTGGTAGTATATATCCTTATGAGTGGCAGTATACAAATCATTTCCCAGTCTAAGCCTATATAGCATGACAGGGGGATTTAAAATCGGACTTTGTACCTTTTCACGCTCGAAACGTTACGAAATCAGCACCTCAATCAGAAGAATAAACACGAGGTATGCGGCGCTGTGCGGCCCGGGCACACCGACGAGTAGGATACCGGATAGAACGGAACGCTATAGCACAGGCACACTGACGAGTAGGACATCAGACAGAACGGAACGCTATAGCACAGGCACACTGACGAGTAGTACAGAACGGAACGCTATACCCCAGGCACACTGACGAGTAGGATACCAGACAGAACGGAACGCTATATCCCAGGCACACTGACGAGTGGGACACCAGACAGAACGGAACGCTATAGCTCAGGCACACTGACGAGTAGGACACCAGACAGAACGGAACGCTATAGCACAGGCACACCGCCAAAGAGACTCCACATCGTTCTATCAGTGTAATATGAGAAAGTAAAATATTAGTATTGCAAGGCCAGTTCTCTCCATTTGAAGGTACTCGTGTCGTATTATTTTACATAAGGATAAGAAATATGAACATTCTTCACGTTTCTCACTTTGTACATGTTTGATCGGTCCGCAGGTGTCTGTTGTTTGGTGTTAGTCTTATATTAGTGTGGATGGGATATTACAATTACAGTGTACCTCGACTGTTGAAACGATAAAAGTAGGTCGGTTAAGGTCGGTATGGAGTCGGTATAGAGTCGGTATAGAGTCGGCGTGACCCCACAGTCACACCAAGAAGACCGACACCATACCGAGAACACAAGTTACATTACTTCAATGGCCAATAAATCAGTAGGTTTGGAGGGCAGTGTGACTGAGGTATTTAATAATATACGTATTACCTTGCCTTGTTCACACGCTGGCCTCATTTTTAACCAGTACTTTTTTGTTTCTGTGGCTATGCAGAAGTACTAGAATTATTCTATTTAGGTACGTGCATTATGAATAGAGCATTGAAATTTATTGATGCGTTTTGATCAAAGGTTAATTTGCTAGAACAAACATAATTTCTGATAAAGTTATGATACTATGACCAAATTCTTAGTAAGTCATAAGAGGATGTTCCGGTTTAATCTGGAATAGATAACACAATGGATATTCTACATTTTGATAGCAGACAAATTTAGACGAAATGAAATGAAAATGTTTTTTATATGTGTAAAACTGAGCAATGTAAACAAAGTTCATCACAGGAAAGACGAAACGGATGTAAGATACAGGAAAAGAATTTATTATATTGAAAAAACAGATATGAAGAGGAAAGGAAAAATATTTTTACGTTCCAAAATAGGGAATCCCAGCTTACAAGGTAAAAAACAACAACCCAAAACAACAATATCATTTCACCTGTATTTGGTTATACGGGTAGGATAGATTACTTGAAGCATAATGTGACTTCATCCCTTTCGATATACAACACTGTGAAGATAATATATTGTACTTAGATTCCTCGAGTATAATTTCACCTTAAATAGATGCGAAAGATTAAATTGTATAAAGAGCTTGAGTTGTGAAGTTTGAACTTGACTTTATATGATGAAAAAATCAGTTGAATTACATGTATATCTCCATACTATAAAAAAAATGGAAATATAATTAGAAGTCAGTCGTACATGCATACACAAATTAAAACATTTATTCATTGAAGTAGGACAAAACAGTTGTCATTATATAATATATCTCTTGTAGAATGAATCTAGCTATCTAATTTCTTGAGATTTGAATGCATATTTCCTTACTTTGTGGTAGGAAGAAAAGAAATAACATAATTTAACAAGGATATTCTTCTGTCGAGGTCATTGGAAACCCAACAGTCATTGGCATAGTAATGACAAGAAGATTTCCTTTCTACATGAAGCAGACCGGACCCGGAAAAGATTTTGACACGTAACCGGAATACAATTAGGTAATAACAGGCAGTTGGAGTACCGAGAAATGTCAATAATTTCCCATTGTTAGTTGTAAATCGGGAGATGAGATAAGCGAAATATAGGGAATTATATTGTCAGTGTCAGTAGAATAAAAATCTTCACCTCTCCCCACCACCACCACCCTCTCTCTCCCTCTCTCTCTCTCTCTCTCTCTCTCTCTCTTTCTTTCGCTCTCTCTCTCTATCTCTTTCTCTCTCTCGTCCCTGTTTCTCTCTCTCTATCCCTCTCTTTCTCTCGCTCTCTCTCCATCTCCTCTCTCTCGTCCCTGTTTCTCTGACTATCCCTCTCTTTCTCTCGCTCTCTCTCTGTATCTCTCTCTCTCTCTCTCTCTCTGTCTCTCTCTCTTTCTTTCTCTCATATCTGTTTTTAAATTTGTACTAATAATCTATAATTATCATAACATCTTACCATTGAGCAATCGTTAATATGAAGCATTGATAGGTGTATGAATTTATCTTTTAATCCTTCAAAAATATAATATGAAAATATGGGAATCATTGTGGTTTTCATTGTAAGAAATCTATTCATTTATTTATTTATTATATATCGTTCACTTTCTTTTCGTTTACTTGTTTATTTGTTTGTTTTTGTCACTATGTTTCTCTTTTAATGGACAAACATACACATAACAAATTTAACTTTATCATCCACTTTTAGGGAGAGAGGAAAGGCGTTACATAGGGCGTGGTAAGATCTTTTTTTAAAGGGACTGGGTAACATTGTTCAATTTAAATAGAGAAAATGGTGCTCAAATGTACAATTAAAGATAATCTGTAAGTGAAACAGACCATTATTAATGATAACAATTGGGAAAAACTGTTCCGATCGATTCCTTAATTATCCGAACTATATTATTACACTTTAATTACATTTTAGGTTAATGTGAATCGTCCCCAAAGCAATGAATAAATTCGAATCAATCAATCATACACTGTCGATCATAAAGGTGGAATATTTTAGTTTTACCCCAATTTATGGAATTATTAAAAAAAATTATTTAAAAATAATAGATCTAGATAATAGTATACATTCTCAGATTGTATTGAATAATAATTTGCCAATGTGTGTTTTGCGGGAATGCTAAAGCATGTGTATGCTACTATGCTTATTAACTAGTGGACCTACGCCCTCAAGTCATAAATGACAGTAATGAGGATTAATGCCCCACAAAAGGGCACTAATATAGCACATCGACACGGTTTTTATCCTGAAGCCTCACAGTTAGAAGGCCATTGTTGTGTCACTGAACCATGACTGTACGCAGCGGGGGCTAGGGTAGGGGGCAGTTTCCATAAATAAAAGAAAACAAAGAAAATGCAATAAATTTTCAATAATTTATTGTATTTTACCCCGGTCCCCAACATAAACAAAATCCTCTGGACGGCCATGCATTATGGCTCAAGGCATGGGCAAATAGAAGCGAAGCGAAGCGCGGAAGCTTTGACGATTCAATAAATTATTACTCTTAATCCTTGTCTGAATTCATTTTCGCCCATCACGCGCAAAGCGCGGAAGCTTTCACGTTTCGTTAAATTCTTAGAGAAAGAAGACGATTCGTTGTACTGTTCTCGGCTCTTAATCCTAGTCTGACTTCAGTTGCCCCCCCCCCCTCCCGAAGCGCGGAAGCTTTGCCGTTTCATTAAATTATAAGAGAAAGAAGACGAATCATTCTCCCGTTCTCTGCTCTTAATCTTGTCTGAATTCAATTTCCCCACTTGGCCCCTAAACGGTACATGTGCAGTGTTACATGGTGTAAGTATGGATCGCCCGGCAGTGCTTGTCACAGTTGCTTCTGGAAAGGATTTTTTCACTAGTGTTACTATTAGTGGCCACGGCACATTAGTGACTATAACATATGCTCTTTCTGGCTATTTGGGAATGTGTCAGTTTGCAATAGAAATGGAGTAACGCTCATTTTGTTGAAAATAATGTGATATAACGAACATTTATACATCACGGAATTGAAAATAAGACATGGTTCAATTTTATGGGGGGCGCTAGCCCCCCCTCCCCCCCAACCAGTACGCCAGTGTCATGAGGTATTTCACTAGAAATGGACTAGTTATCTATGTTTTTGTAGATTCAGAAGAAATGTTTAGATTTCCAGGGAAATTTTTACTTAAATGTTATAACCACCATTTTCTCTTATAATAATAATAATAATAATAATAATAGCTAGTTCTTATATAGCGCTTTTCACGACCGAAGGCCCTCTCAAAGCGCTTTACAGATATATATTTTATTACCCCGGTCATAGGATTCAGGCTTACCCGCACACAATGTATGCACATTCTCCACTCCCTGGGGAGCATTCCAGCCAGGCCTAAGCTTTAATTTGATACCAGATTAAGCTGCCATCTTCTGGCTGTTTTCATGTTTTAGGCGATTTTCCTTGCCACATTGCCCCGAAAAGTGTGTTTATCTTTCGACTGGGCAAGAAAAAGAAATCACCAAAAACGACATTGGGCGCACTTTGGTTCCTTCCTGGCCCACTATGCGACGCTGAGTTGATCTGTCGAAAGAAGTTGCGATCATTTTGAAACTGGGAAGAGATGAATTGCGCCTGACACCAATGTTATTGTATACCTGTAATGTAGCAGCTATACTAATATGCTTCATTGTCTTGTTAAAGTTGCAGAGATACAATTTCAACTAATTACTTCATAATTTTTTGAGAAGAAACTACTCACTCGTTATATAACCTTCATAGGGGAGCAAGTGAATATAAAACAAGCATTGTGAACCTGTTATATGTTCATTGATGCATCGATATGGTCATGAGATGGCGTTTCACATTTAGGCTCAGTAACGGTATAGAGCTTCGGGGGAATATCCGATTGGTTGCAGTTGCTCTGCAAGAAATTTACACTGACCGTGTGTTTGGGGCTCAGGGGAAGGCTTGATGCAGGACCAAAGTTTGCAACAAAACGGGGAAAGGGTTGTCTGTTAACAGGGTAGGCTCGATGAAGACCTTGTGGCCCGAATTCACAAAGGAGGTTTGTCGACAAACCTTGGTTTTCGTGCGTCATATGACGCGTTTCGACGCGTTTTTACAAACCAGGTTTGTAAAAAAAAACGCGTCAAAACGCGTCATATGACATACATAAACCTCCTTTGTGAATTCGGGCCTGTGTGTTTCCCTATTTTCTTCACTTCTCATAGCTACGTTAGATCAGATTCCTCAAAATGTTTGCAGGGCTACATTATGCGAAACTGAATGCAACCGACATGAAAACCTATATCCTGATAATCATGCGTGTTTAAACAACAAATACATGAAATATATTTTAATTTGTTGAAAGATGCCTATTTCATATGAAAGAGAAGCTACAATGTTCATCTCCTTAAATAGTTTTACCACATCACCAAAAAATATATATATCTGTAGCAATGTGTCAATATATATTTCGTGCGTGACCACGGCTCAGAGGACTGTCAGTCTCTCGAAAACTAGATAGTATATACGCCGAAAATATAGTATCGTCAAA